GCACCACTGTCCTCTCCCTCCACATTCATGGACTGCAGCGTCCTCTTCCGCCGTGCACGAATGGCTGCTCTCATCCTCCCCTCGCTCCTCTGCAATTGACACCGGAAGAGGATGGCGTTCACGACCGCTGCCACCGCCGTCCTCTCCACCTTGCTCAGTGTGTCACGGCCCGCCTCCCCGTTCATGGCCATTGCCGAAATTGGTACTGTTGACGTGGGCGTCGCCAAGTGCAGAAGACTCCACGTGTGTCGGGCCGCACAACAGCGATGCTGCAAGTGACGACCGGAGTGCACCACGTACACATCGACGACGAAGGTGCGCCTGCGAAGACGACAACGATGGCGATCAAGTGACGGCATGTCTGCTGCTTCGGACGCGTTCATGTACATTCCCCGTGCCCGGCGACACGCAGCCGCCACCCCGTACCGAAACGCTTCCGCCGAGGAACGTTGCTGCCGTCAGCCGCAAGGGACGCCCACGCCGCCGTCAGTTGCTTGCGGAAATTCGAATTTCGAATTTTGAACCCGGGACTGCGCGCCTTTTTCGTGCCATTTTTTTTTTCCCGCCGCCAACTTTCGAATTTGCGACGCCCGCCCGAGCTGGACCAACGACGTCGGCACGGACACACCTTGCTGGACCAACCTCCTCCCCCCCCCCCACGTCCACTTGTCGATATACGAAACTGGCCTCGGAAGGCCCCGAGGAATCGTCCTCGGGGAACAATTCCGAGGATGAGTGGAACGACGACACAAATTTCCTAGGGCGACGACGGGAGAATTTCCTCAGGCCCAGAGGACGGCCCGAGGAGTGTCGAACGAGCCCCTATCTAGAGTAAGTGCAGCCACGACCGAACTCTCGGCCATTTCGGGAATCTGACAACTCATGCCGCACTCTTGATTTTTTTCACGAGTCATGAGTAGTGCAGCGAGGCCCATAATTTTTATCACAACTGCACAAATCCCCTATAAACTTCAACCACATCACAACAAAAGATCCCCAAAAAACTTATACAGCCCATGAGAAACCAACTGCGAAGCTGTTGCAACAGAAGACCAAAACAGCTTGCCCGTGGAATAGGAACGGTTGATGAGAGTGAGACTTAGGGTACACTGACACCACCACGTATTTTCGCAAAATAGCAAATTTTATGTAGTTTTTCGGGTCACAAGAGGCACGCAAAAGGGCACGAAAATGTCAGCGGCCTGGACAGCCACGGGCTTACATATTTTGCGGGGACCTCCAGGGGCCTGGTCCCACTAGCAAAGAGGATGGGATCGAATGCCTGAATCTGGACGTGTTTGTCGAGAGGTGCAGGAAATAGAGATTGAAGTGCTTTTCTGCATCTCTGCATAAAACACATCCAGGTTCGGGCATTCGATCCGACTGCAGACAACGTATTTTGGGCATAAAACACATCCAGGTTCGGGCATTCGATCCGACTGCAGACAACGTATTTTGGGCATAAAACACATCCAGGTTCTGGAAGCAAAAAAAAAAAAAGAAAAAAAGGTGCATTGTGCTGTCTGACTGCAGACAACGTATTTTCGCATCTCGAGGCCAGGTCACGACCCTGTCTTTTCTGCTTTGGGCAACAAAAGGGTGAGCAGTGTGACCCGCCGGTGCCATATAAACGCAAATTCACATACGTAAAATTTGCGGAAGTACGTGCTAGTGTGAGTATGCCCTTAGTACAATCTACAGTCTATGTCTGTCTGAACCCGGCTAGGACCGTACAGACCGGCCATGGAACGAGGAACAGTTGATGAGAGTGAGACTTAGTACAGTGCATGGCGGGTGCTGGTAGGGCTCTTGTGTCAGTGGGGCTCCCCACAGGATTGGTTGGGTTGCCTGCCTCCTATGTTCGGTTCACTATGAACAAAAAAAACAAGTAGTAATGACAACAGTGTGCACAGCCAACAATCTAACAACAAAACAACAGTAAACAACAGCTGTGTACACAACGATAGGAACGCAAAATAGGTCCACCTATGGGACTTGTAGTGAAACGTCTGCACCTAGCACGCTAGCACCTGAAGTACCTGGGCGACAAGGCTCACACAAATATGCTTCGGTCAGGGCTGAGTGGGGTGTGTGGGACTCAGCTTAGCCCTGGTACGTACAACCGCGGTTCCGTCAGGTCACCCCCAAGGCTGGAGGGTGACGATCCTCAGGGGTAGACACTGAGGTAGGATAGTGGGAGTAGGAGTGCCAGATTGCCAGGTCGGATCGGGTAGTCTGTGATTGGTGGGCTTCAGCCCATCTGACTCTGACCACGTGGCAACAGGGCTCATAGGGTTTGCTGATGTGTCTGTTCTGTGATTTTTCATGTGGAATCGGCGATTCTTATTTCCCATGTGGCAGGGCAGGAGGTGCTGTGAGGATCGGCACCGGGGCTGTTTATGTGATTGATGTAGGCTCTGCCATGTGGGTATTGCGATTTGACCCTTTTTTTTCAACTTCTTCCCACTTGAGCGCACCTTCGATTAACCTGTATGCGAGGGGGCATATTCTTTTTGCTATAAACATAGATTTCTACCACGTGGCAGGGCAGGAGATGCAGTGGTGTTGGGCATCATGACTGCTAATGCGATTCGTTCGATTGATTTGTGTCCTGCTACGTGCGTATTTTGTTCTCAATTGCTTTCAATTGCTTTCGCAAAAGTGCCTTCCTCTCTCGTGTGGTTGTGCTGCTAATTAGGATTGAGGGGGGCATATTGCTACAGCCAACTTTAGAGAAGAGATGGTAGCAGTGAAATTGGTCGTCATTGGTTAGGTTTTGACCTCTTTTCGGCCCCCAGTTGGGCCGCATAGGGGCTGGAGTCATTGGTTGCAGGCAAGGGAGATTGATCGGCATCGGGGCACACTGTGAGCGGCCGTCCTGGCAACAGGCGGGCAAAGGAGGTCACGGGCCGTCATGCCAACGATGCGCCTCCCGCCACCATTGTTTCCACTGCAGGTGGTGGTCGAGTTGCAGTTCCCCTATCAGTCTTCCCGGGTCGAGCCATATGTCCTGAAACAGAGCAAGTTGTTGTGCCCTTTGCATGTGGTCTGTTGTTGTTTCCAGGGTGGCCTTCAGCCGTCTCCAGGCTTCTAGAATGTTCGTTCTTTTAGTGTCTATGATATGTTGTTTAGCCTGGAGCAATGACTCATTCTTGTGCATTTGTCTACTCGGTGCCGTACGTATGGACTTGCGCTCTATGAATCCTCAAACAAATAGACCTATATACCCACACAATCTCTCACCCACTCACAAAGTTCATCAGAGGGTCAAGACTACCGCATGGTTCTCACGCTGCAATGAACCAAAACAAGGCATCAAATTTGGTAAGGAATTTTGATGCGACCCTGAGGTGAATGTTGTTCAGTTGATTCTTCTGCATAACATTTTTTTTTTCACAATTTTTCGAAAAAAAATGTTTTTTGCCTCTTTTGTTTTTTCATGACCGGGAACCCGTTCATGACCGGGGACCGTGGTCACAGCCGGCGTGGTTGCAGGTCAAGGGGATTCATAGCCCCCACCCCCCATCGAGTAGATGCAGTGGCTATCTCACCTCCCTTTTCTTTTGTAAGAAGAGAAGGGTCACTTCTTCTTGACTTTTTTTTCTGTTTTTATTTTTTTATTATTATTTTAAAAGCCCGGGGTGTTGTAGAGGCCAAGGACTAGACCTACGGTGATAGCTGGCAGCAGCAGCCAATGGTTGTCCTGACAGGATAGGCCACCTTCCATACCCTTCCCCACCTTAATACTCCCAGCACACCTCCAGGCAAAAGTGCGTTTTCATGCAAAATTCACTCTTTTCAGTTTTCAGGATTTTCAGGATTTTTTTTTTTTTTTTTTTTTTCCAGGGCTGGCCAAAACAGTGAGGGCCCTGTGTAATTTTTCCAATAAATTCGGTGGGTTGTGGAGGGAATGGATACCGTTTTTGACTAATTGGGGTCACTTTTTTCGGAGGGGTCCTGAGGGCTCCCGTGTTAGGGGGTTGGTACTCTCTGCGTAAATGGTCGAAGACTGGCAGTTGACAGGCTTTATTGAAGGATAGGGCTGTCGGGTTCCGAGTCCTGGTCCGTAGCTCTAGTGGTATGTTTTTTTTTTGAAGTTGAATAGCGACGGTTTGTCGGTTGAAAAATAACTTTGCACCTACGGGTCTCGATCCCTGGATTTCTTTCTTTTTAGTAGACTTCCTGTAAGATGTAGTTTAGTGTTTCGTACATGTAGTTTAGTGTTTCGTACACGCGTACCTTGGGTGATGAGCAAGTTTGTGCATGATTTTTGGGAATTGAATAATGGCGGTTTGTCTGTTCCTCACTATTCAGCGGACCGCCAAGGTGGCATAGTTCAGTGTTACATACTCACGTTTTTCAATTGAGAATATGGATGGCGCGGCTTTTATTGATATTGCAGGTGGAGCGGAGGGTCGGCGTCTCTTTTTTCGGCATCTTGTAGGATATATAAGGAACAGTAGTTTACTGTTTGTCCAAAGCCGACTTCAGACCCCTGATGAGTCCTGGTTTGGCGGCCAGGCGAAACCGGTCGGGTCGTACGCCACGCGGGAGCTCTGCTTTCGCTTTTTTTTGTGCTTCATGCTTATCTTAAGTTTTAAGAGTCACGTTCAGGGCATCAGTCTACTCTGTTCGGTGTGACCTCCAACTCTCCATCCCACACCTCTCTCCCTCTCTACATCCCTTCCCCTCTCTCTCTCTCTCTCTCCCCCTCTTTCCTATCCCAGTACATGTCTCGCATGTGTGATGATTCGTTGTGACATTATCATTGTCGTATGCTGTTAGCTCGACACTTTATTACGTGAAGTAACCGACGTAGCGGTAATACTATCGTTGAGTGGCTTCGTTCTATCATTCGTGATGGTGTCCAATGTTCTAACATGCAGGCAGGTCGTGAGTGCTATAATTGCGGGCAGCTGGGTCACATCTCTCGCTTCTGTCCTCTTCCAGACCGTAGGTTAAACAGAGCACAACCTTCTACTAGTACCACCGTTGTCCCGGCACAGCCACTGTTGACTCTTCCCTCGAACTCGAACTCCAACGTAGGTACCTCGGTGACAGTCCCTTACTACACGGGGCAGTATAATGGTGGAGGTGGCGGCAGCGGGTTGGGAAGACGAGTTAGTCACCTGGAGGAGATCGTCGGGAAGATCAATTCGAAGCACGAAGCACGAAGCTGACGAAGGAAGAGAGAAAAGTCAATGTGAGGAAGAAGAAAGGAGGAAGCGTGAGAAGGAAGAAGAAGATAGGAGGCAGCGCGATAAGAAGGAGCGGGAAGACTTCCAAGCGCAAATGCATAAGGAGATGTCCGCAAAATTGGACCGCGTGTGTGATGCTGTTAACGGTAAGAAAGCTAGCGATTCCGAAGAAGTTATGAAGTTGAAGGCGCAGGTGGAGGCACTTACTCTGCAACATCGTGAGTCAACGGCGGGTGAAAAGAAAAGCGGGGAGGCTGAGGAAGTCGCTCGGCTGAAACTGGAGGTCGAGTCCCTCAAACGAGGCCGTGATGTGGCTAGTACATCCGCCACAGTCACGACAGGCGAATCGGAGGAAGTCAGTCGCCTTCGGAGGGAATATGCTGATATGAGGGCTGTTACTGACTGGAGGCTCGCATCGCTGGAGGAGGTTATTCATGCACTCCAGAAGCAGTGTGAGGCGGCGGAGAACAATGTTGAGGCGTGGAGATTGGAAGCGCTCCGACCGGGCAACAAACGTGGGAGCGTTGCCATTGGCCAGTGCCCGATAACAGAGGCCAGGGTCAGACCGCGTGTTACCCTGTATGAGATTCCCCGAGCAGTGAGCAGAGTGAATGGACAGCTGAAGGCCATCGTGGAAAGACACCAGCAAGAAGTTGACTTACTCAAGGAAATGAGATTAAAGGAGGTCAACGCAAGAAAGGAATCGGAAGAGGAGGTCGAGCGCCTGAAGGAGGCGATGGCTCGATTGGGTACCAGTAGAAAGACGAAGGGTACAAATCTGCGCACCCGTTTGGATGAGGTGGCTGGTCCTAGCTCTCGTAAAGACAAGGGGAAGGCTCCAGCGAGTCCAGACACGCAAGCGGTGGACAGAGATGTGCTCCTCAAGAATGCGAGGAGACAACTCCGAAACTTGAAGAAAGATGATGTGGTTGCATTTTGTGAGAAAGAGGGTATTACGTATACAAAACTGGATCTGACTAAGGAGGCCATCGCTCAACGACGGGCTGGCAGGGCGTTTGGTGATGATGACACAGTCACGCAGGTAAGGGTAAGAAAAATGACGAAGTGGTTGATGTCACCGATGACGGGGGTGATGATGACCTGAGCAAGAGCCACGGGCGTGACGCCGCTTTCTCTTAGGGTCACGCCCAGACGCGTCTCGACTATGGCATATTGTTAGAATTTGCTCTAGTATTCGTTCTCGTTCCGTAGATCTTCTTCGTTGTAAGGAAGTTAATCTCCTCTTGTCGCTGGTGGTTTGTGGGTTGATCCTAATTGGGGAGGTTTCATGGTGCTCGAAGTTGTGTGAATTCTTTCGTCGCTGGTTCTTGTCTACCTCAGATGATGAGCATGATGAGTGGAAGGGTCCGATTGTGTATGCGCTAATCTCGCCATGGTCCCGTCATTTGTATGTTGGTAGCACTCAGCGGGATCTTCATACTCGCTGGAGAGAGCATGTCTATCGGGCCTGTCAGACTAATGTTATTGAAGGTGGCAGGCGTAATGAAAAGCTCTATCAATGGTTACGACGGTGTGGTGCACATACGTATGTTATTCTACCTCTTTGCTGCTGTGATGCTGACGACTTGGATGAGACGGAGAAATTCTTTATTCGTTTATTCTCGCCTGCTCTGAATATTTGTGACAAACCACGTAAAACACGTAGGCATAGACCGGGTCTTAAGGAGCGATTAAGACGGAAGAGGAACGCTGCTGGGAAAGCGTTGGTAAATACAACTAACATTGATGTACGCGTCTCGGCGTCTCCAAATATGCATGGTGGTTCTATCTGTGTATTTCACTCAAGTACGGGTACTAAGTCCGTGAGTCTCGTCAGGATCTTGAAAGAATGCGTGGACAAAGGTGTTGTTCGGGTAGTAGTTGTTCGTTGTTCTGGGGAAGATCGACTTCTGGATCGATGGAAGATCCTGAGACGGCTATATGGTGGGAGTCTGGTTGGTTGTGAGTTTGGTATCAAGGAGCTTCGTCATGCTCGAGGGTGGGTTAAAGGTGGAGTAACTCTGGTGTTCAATCCGATTGTCCCGTTCTTAAGGAAGCCGCTTGTGCTCAAACCCTCCTTGGCCGGATTTCTAAGTAACCCCTCCAACCGTGTGAATCTGAAAACTTGGAGCTTCGACGGGTTGGTTGCAGCATATACTGCAGTACGCGTATTTAGTGAGAAGCGAACCCGGTTTAGATTGCGGTGTCTGCTGTCCCACACAATTCTATCGCGGTTTGGTGTGCATGTCAGGAAGAGAGTAGTGGTACGTATCGTCTATGATGATAGAGTCTGTAAAGCTAAGGTTCGTAGATTATGTGCCACGATTATTTATGGGCTTGATATTCAGCCAAGTTGGAAGGGAATGCTGATTCGACGCATGAGAGTAGTATGGTGCCATAATAGGAATGTAGGGGATCTACTGCATACCCATAGGCTGTTTTCTAGACCGAATGATGTCACTTGCCCCTGCTCTGAGCTTGATGTATCCCTCCCACGGATAGAGGGTCATCTTTCTTTCCGTATTAATGACGTACCGTCAATCTTCCCGGTCTGGTTACGTAATTCAAAGAATTTACTACGACCTTCTTCTTTACGGCATGTCGCCAATATTCGTCATCAGCTCCTTGCCTCTTTTTCATCTCATCCCTCCTTGCCTCCGGTTGAATCTGCGTCGCTGTCCAATGAGGAGATTCGTGGCTGTCTGTTGTCTCATACGGTGGAAGAGAGTTGCCCTGTATCAGTCGGTGAAGACGATCTGGTTCCCTTTCATCACCTCTTGCGTGAGTTAGTATGTAGCCCCATAGATCATAACCCTGGCGACACGTTCGTATGTTGTCCCTTGACCTACGAGGAAGGCATGCGTAAGCTATTCTTTGGCAACCCTTTGTTCCAGCTATGCAAAGAGGAACCTGAGTCAGTCCTAGAGGCATGTCGAGAGAAGTATGTGAAGGGCAATCTACAACAGGTGGGATCCTGGAAACGTAGCGGTAAGTTCACGGAAGCGTACTGCATTCCCAAACATAAGGACGTATCACGGTGGAGACCCATTTGTCCATCCTACTTTGAGTGTTCTGCGGCTGGTGGTAGGGTGGCTTCCTGATGTGTGAATGCGCTGCTTTGGAACCTACCTGCTCACTAGAATCTTAATCTACGCAGTGCAGACGGGCTGATGGCCGGGATCAAGAATGTTAATAAGGGATTGACCAAGAACGACGTTGTTTTAGGCGCTTCTTTCGACATAAAGGAAATGTTCTCAAATCTACCACACCACTCTATTATCCAGGCTGTGAAATGGGCGGTTGACTTTTGGTCTGAGAAGGGCGTCAGGGCTGTGGGGGTACGCAAGCAAGGGAAAGGTGCTAAATTGCTATCTGGCCGGTGTGAGATGGGATGAAAGAGTATTCCTTTGAATTTGATTATCGATTTTATCGTGTTCGAAATTGGCCATACTTACGTTAAGGCCGCTGGGCGTTTGTTGCGTCGGCATGTGGGCATTCCGATGGGAAAATCATCTAGCCCTGTGTTAGCCTGCTTGTTATGTGCGTATAATGAGTTTAAATTCTTAAACAGTTTGGGGGTTGACCGTCAGCTGTTTCGTGGCTTCCGACTGATGGATGACGTTTCAGTTTTTGTGGTATGCACGAAGGATGATGTGCGGTCTCGTGACAGAGGTCTCCGACTTATTCAAATGTTCTGTGAGTGCTATGATGACAAGTTGATCCTGGAAACCAATGATGGGCAATGCTGGGATTTTCTGGGTTGTATTCTGAAGGTGTTCGAAGGTAAGACGGGCGTGTTGTGTTTTCCAGTAATGAAGAATCAGAGGAGTGAAGTTAACGGGGAGCTACGGTTCCAGAGTATTCAGGACTATGCGTCCTTCACCAGCCGCCAGCAGAAGATGGCGGTGATTGGCTCCTTTCTTCATCGAGCGAAGACGTACTCCTCTCTGGAAGGGATGGTAGTTCCTTATCTGTTTTCTCTGAAATGTGACCTGTGGAAGAGGGGGTACCCTGATACGTTTTTTGATAGTGCCCTGTGTAATTTTTCCAATAAATTCGGTGGGTTGTGGATGGAATGGATACCGGTTTTGACTAATTGGGGTCGCTTTTTTCGGAGGGGTCTTGAGGGCTCCCGTGTTAGGGGGTTGGTACTCTCTGCGTAAATGGTCGGAGACTGGCAGTTGACAGGGTTCCGAGTCCTGGTCCGTAGCTCTAGTGGTATGTTTTTTTTTTGAAGTTGAATAACGGCGGTTTGTCGGTTGAAAAATAACTTTGCACCTACGGGTCTCGATCCCTGGATTTCTTTCTTTTTAGTAGACTGCCTGTAAGATGTAGTTTAGTGTTTCGTACATGTAGTTTAGTGTTTCGTACACGCGTACCTCGGGTGATGAGCAAGTTTGTGCATGATTTTTGGGAATTGAATAATGGCGTTTCGTCTGTTCCTCACTATTCAGCGGACCGCCAAGGTGGCATAGTTCAGTGTTTCGTACTCACGTTTTTCGATTGAGAATATGGATGGCGCGGCTTTTATTGATATTGCAGGTGGAGCGGAGGGTCGGCGTCTCTTTTTTCGGCATCTTGTAGGATATACAAGGAACAGTAGTTTACTGGTTGTCCAAAGCCGACTTCAGACCCCTGATGAGTTTTGGTTTGGCGGCCAGGCGAAACCGGTCGGGTCGTACGCCACGCGGGAGCTCTGCTTTCGCTTTTTTTTGTGCTTCATGATTATCTTAAGTTTTAAGAGTCGCGATCGGGACATCAGTCTACTCTGTTCGGTGTGACCTCCAACTCTCCATCCCACACCTCTCTCCCTCTCTACATCCCTTCCCCTCTCTCTCTCTCTCCCCCCCTCTTTCCTATCTCAGTACATGTCTCGCGTGTGTGATGATTCGTTGTGACATTATCATTGTCGTATGCTGTTAACTCGACACAAAACAGTGAACTCCAAGACCCCAGCAAACACCAAACTTGGCACACACAGACCTTGACCAAAAATAAAACAGGGCAAAAAAAATACCCAAAAAAAAACTGGAAAAAATGATCTCCAATGCACTTTTCAGGGTCGGGGTTGTGGTGTCCACACTATGGACTGGTGACAAGTCTGGCGTAAAAGGTATGGGACGTTTGTTATAATGACCCTGAAAAAATCCTGAAAATTTAGGACTCTGTTAACGGTTGTTACCTTGGGGCTGAATAGTGGGGGTCCCTGTTAACCTTTGGTGCTCCTATCCCTACTATCCTACCTCAATGTGACCCGCACTCCGGACCATCACCCTACCTATCGAGGGCAACTCGGACCAGACAGGAGTGACAAGCACCAAGGGGGGAAATTCCCCCAGTCCTATTTTAAAAGCCCGGGGTGTTGTAGAGGCCAAGGACTAGACCCACGGTGATCGCTGGCAGCAGCAGCCAATGGTTGTCCTGACAGGATAGGCCACCTTCCGTGCCCTTCCCCACCTTAATACTCCCAGCACACCCCCTGTCCCTACTATCCTACCTCAATGCGACCAGCACTCCAGACCATCACCCTACCTATCGAGGGCAACTTGGACCAGACAGGAGTGACAAACCAAGGGGGGAAATTCCTCCAGTCCTAGTGGAAGTGGGAGCAGACGAACGTTGCCGTACGGGAACTTCAGACGCCAGGCTCATGCAATCTTCTACAGGCCCAATATCAGAGAGTCTACCCAGCACGAGTACCTAGGCAAGGCAAGCTGGCGCCCACGAACACATCCTACCGTCCTTCCGCTGACTTACCCAAGAGTCTAAGCCATGCATGAGCAGAGCCCATCATGGATCTGATAGAACCCCCCAGCGCAGTATTATAGTTGTATGTATATGTGTGCCCAGAGGCTATGTATGTATGAGCGCTGTAGGCTGCGTGTATGTTCACAAGCCATAATGTTTATTTATGCCCGGAGGCTATTTATGCTTTGTGTAGCTGTATAGCAGGATGTATGTGCCCGAAGGCCAGACATGTGCAGCACTACCTAGAGGAAATTATGTGTTCTTGAAGAGATGACAGGCCAAGCTGGACAAGAAACCCCCAAAGTCTCAAGCCAGACTCGAACTCGTGATCTATGACATGTGACTGGACGACTCGGCCATATGAGCAACCATCGCAAATGGCACCTATGTGTGATATGCCAGACTCGGGATATCAACAGAACCACCACGACCC